AATAAGGAAAGGATGTTAAGACTATTCCCAGCATATTACCTCTTAGCCTTCTTCATTATGTTCAGTTCTACACTGACAAGTTGTCTAGGGTTGTATATTAGTAGAAGCCATCCTCAGGCACACATTTTTGACAGGTCTTTTTCTGTAAGAAAGAATAGGTATATGAAGCACCAGGCTCCACTGGAACTGATTTACTCTGGAAATTTGTATCCAGTTTAGCACCTTGTGAATAGTACTTGATAGTCTATGCAGTGTATTCCCCTGAGAACAGACTCCTAGATATAACAGCTTATCCAAGATAGACTATAGTACTGATGTTCAATTGAAACAGCATAGACATTCTTCCAGGAGGTCGCCCTCACCCAGCTCCCATAAGCCCTAGCACCTCATTCTACCCACAGTCTTGTAAAATTTTTGCTCAAAATTTGTATCTTTAATCCACACAGCATTCTGAGTAAGGAAAACCGTCCAGGGGCCTATGAAATTCATCTCTCAGTGAAGGATTACTGCTTTGCCCGAGAAGATCGAATTATCGGAATGACAGTCATTCAGCTACAGAACATAGCAGAAAAAGGAAGCTATGGTGCATGGTATCCTCTTCTGAAAAATATCTCCATGGATGAGACTGGTTTGACTATTCTTAGAATACTCTCCCAGAGGACTGGTGATGATGTGGCTAAAGAGTTTGTAAGACTTAAATCTGAAACAAGATCTACTGAAGAGAGTGCTTAAAATGAACACTACAAGAACTCTAATTAATCTGATTACTGCATGCACATGCAAATACATGGGAATGTTTATTTACCTACATTTCAATGTTTCCCAGTACAATGTATGCAAGGTCTGTGAAAAACCTGCTGAATTTTTATACCAATTCTGGTCTTTGGGAAATAAATAAATGTTCCATGAAGTGCCAAAATTATGATGTAAAGTGAAATATCAAGAATATCTTTTAAAATGTTCATTTCATTACCAATTTCTCATTCATTAAACATACTAAAAAACAATTAGTGTTTGAGTTGGCCCATTGGTTGTCCTTATTAAATGAGTTTATATTGGCCATAGATCAGAAAGCATTTATTACTCAAATTCTGTTTTATTTAGACTTACGTCATTGTAGCTGTTTTACAAATACCTTTTTCTAACAAAACTAGAATTGCAATCACTTCTAGAAAGCATTTGTAATTTTATAGTTGCAGATATATTGTGATGATTTTTGCATACAAATTAAAATAGAAAAGGTGGGAAATATTTTATGCTGACCAGTTTCCAACCTTTCTGAAATATCACTGTGAAGAAATGCTACTAAAGCAAACTTATACATAGCAATGCTAAATAGAGTTTGTTAACAATGTTTGATATATTGACAAAACTTTGTTCTTTAAAACTGCCAAGGTCACATTACATTTGTAATAAAGGTAAGTTGATGCATTTTGTCATATAGCATTATGTCTGTTTTATCATAGTTCATTCTTTAAAAAGTCATAGAATTAATGGTTTAGAAATGGGATGGAAAGTTTATTAAAATTCCTATGATAATTAACTATACTCTTAGTATTTTCCCTCTGATAGTTATGATTATCTCCTTATTTACTGAACTCTGTAATCAGGTCAATGTTTTCTTCTCAAAAATATTCAATGATTTGTACTGAATGCAGCATCACTATATATTGCACTGGAGCCAAAAGTCATGTTTTCAAGTCTAAAGAAATTGCTTACAATTTTGTAATTTGTATTTATAAGCCCGAAATGCATCAGCTGCAGTAGGAGAACAACAGCTCGCTCGGTGAGTAAAAATACAACAAAGTTGGGTTTTTGAATATGTGCGTTTTCTGTCTTTTTACAGTTTGACTTTTTAGAGTCTATACCTAAATACTTGGCTGTAGAATAGTATTAATACTTTGTAATTATAACTGCTAGCAGACTACTTACACGTGTAGAAACAAAAACCTGTTACAACAATTGTGTTTTGTGAACAAGGCTGGCTAGATATGTTAAGAACAGAAGTGATTAGTATCTTGACTGTCAGAACCATTCTGTTTCTGGGTGTGAAAACACAGACCAGTGAGATTGGCTATTTCATGTTAAATTGTTAGGCAATTGCTTTGTTAATGACTTCTCCAAATGCATAGTATGATGTGATCCTCTGGCATATGCACTAATAAATGGATATATATTAAGCACATGCAACACTTTATTGTATCTTCTGCCTTTTCATTCCATTTATGTAACATGATTTTATTATTTAGGAATAAAAACTACAAGCTCTCAATTGAGTCATTCTAAATTCAATCTTATAAATATTTTACAGAACATTGACTTGAGCTTTTTAGGAGCACATTAAAGTAATAAAGCATGATGTTTTTGAATAAATGGTAGTTCAGGTTTATATTGATCACTCTAAAAAATTATGAGCTAAGTATTTTTCCCAGTATTTGTTTCATTGGATTCTTTTAAAAATATATACAATATGCATCAAAGACTAATAGTGGCAGTCTGAATTGTCTAGTACTAATTTTGAAACAGTTATAGACTGTTTTTCTCCAAAGACCCAAGTATTTCTGATGTCTTTAGAACAAAGCCTTTTGCATTTACTCACTCAGGTTGGTACTCACTCTGAGGCTCCCAGTGATCTGTCCACTTGAGTACTCCACTAATGTGTATGACAATTTATTCTTGTTATTCTACATAAAATACACAAAGGCAAAGTTCTGTTATTTATCTTCAGGTGAACTTCATGTTACCAGTTCTGAAAGATACATGTGTAAATCAAATTTGGCCAAAACAAAGTATTTAAAACCAGAGTGGTACATTTACAATTCAAAGTAATTCTGATGAGTTATTATTAAAACACTTAATCAGATGTCTCCATCACAACCTGCTCTAACTCATCTACTTCTAGGATACTTTATACATTGAATTTACTTTAAATGAATGTCATTTATAAATGACAATTCTAGCCTAATGTCTTTCATTTGGTCTTTTACAAAAATGTTTAAAACCAGGTTTACTTTTCTCCTTTTCTCTAAATTAGACTATGCTAATATGGCAGCTTTAATGAAGATGAATTCCTATTTGTGAATAGCACATTATAAAATGTACCTGACTTTAAAGTTGTCATGTATGAAAAAAAAAATGGGCATCTTTAAGTATATATAATCATTTGGCATGTTCTAGTTTAATTGGTATTTTTCCTCCTTAATAGTACATAAATAAAACAATGGTTCATCTTACAGTGAGTGACTTCTTCCAATCAATAAGTATATTTATGGCAAAATATTTACAAAGGCATGAAAAGAAAGTAATGATCATCTATTTAAAATCATTTTAATTTGCATATGCTAAAATTATTTCATTTGTGGTTTGGCAAATGCATAGTCATGTATTGATCACAATCAAGATAATAGGACAGTTTCATCATCCCCAAAAATTCTAACATGCCTACCACCTTGTAGACAAACACCCTTCCTACCATCAACCCCTGGCAACACAATCTATTTCAGTCCATCTAATTTTGTGTGTTCCAGAATATCATATGGAATCATACCGTAGGTACCCTTTCAACCTGTATTCTGTCACTTAGCATAGTACACTTGAGATTCATCCATTTCATATAGCATATATCAGTTGTCAACTATTTCTTATTGCTGATTAGTCCATTGTATGAGTACTCAAAAGATGTATTCATTTACCAGTTAAGATAGGTGGATTCCTTTCAGTTTGGGGATATTAAGAACAAAGCTGTTATAAACATTCATGTACAGGATTTTGTGTGTATATAGTTTTTATTTCTCTTAGATGAATAGTAGTAGGTCTGGGTCTTATGATAAGTGAATGTTTAACTTTATGAGAAACCATCAAACTTTTTCCTTTATGAGAAACCATCAAACTTTTTCCAAAGTACTTGTATCATTTTACATTCCCAGCAAGAATGTATGACAATTCCAGTTGCTTCACATTTTTGTAAGCACTTGGGATTGTCAGTTTTTCTCTATTTATTTTTGTTCTAATATTTCTGCAGTGGCATCTCAATACGGTTTTAATTTATATTCACCTGATGATGTTGAATATTTACATGCTTATCTGCCATCTATCTATCATTTTTGATGAAGTGGCTGCAAATCGTTTGCCTATTTATTGGATTGGTTTATTATTGAGTCTAGAGACATTTAATGGACTGTTTTATTAAGTCTGGACATCTTTGTGTATATTCTGTATACAAGTTCTTTGTCAGATATCAGATTTGCAAATAACAGTGTCTTTCAGACAGCAAAAGATTTTAATTTTGATAAGGTCCAATTTATTGTTTTTTTTTCTTTTACAGATCATACTTTTATTATCATTCTTAGAATTCTTTGCCTCACTCAGGGCCACAAAGACTTTCTCCTATATTTTCTCATAGAAGTTTTATACTTTAAAGCTTTACAATTTTGCCTATGAACAGTTTTGAGGTTGTCTGTTTCCGTATCCGGTTTGGGTTGAGGTTCATCTAGGATTATTAAATTACATAATCAGAAATTAATTTGCATAGAAATGTACAGTTGTTACCAGCAGCACACCATTTGTTGAAAACACTACAACTTTCTCTTTTGAATTACCTTTGCACCTTCAAAGTAAATCAACTGACCAAATGTGTGTGGGTCCAGTTTGGGACATCTCCAGTATATTCCATTAAGCTAAATCTGTACCCTTTCACCAATGCAACACTGTCTTAATTACTACAGCTTTATATTTTCTTGAACTCAATGTGAGTTCTCCACATTCTTTTTTCAAAATTATTTTTCACTATTCTAGTATTTCTGCCTTCCTATCACAATTTTAAAATCCTACTGGGATTTCGACTGAGATATTATGGACTCTATAGATCAATTTATAGACAACTGACATCTTAACAATATTGAATCTTTAATTCAGGGACACACTATTTGTCTCTGTTTATTTAGGTCTTTATTAATTGCTTTTATTAGTGTTTGATGGTTTCCTATATATAAATCCTATCAAGTATCTTATGTGGGGGTATGTGAGAATAAAATTCAAATTCTAATTGTTCATTTCTTATATAAAAAATTGATTTTTATATATTGATATGGATACCTCACTTATTATTAGGATCAACTTTTGTAGGTTCCTTGGGATTTTCCATTACATTGAAAATCATACAAAAAAGCAATTATTCTTTTTCCTTTCCAGTCTGTACATGTTATTTTTCTTTCCTCAATGCACTTGCTAAGGCTGCCAGTATGATGTTGTATAGAAGTGGTAAGCACAGATAGGCTTGCCTTGTTCTCAATCTTAGGAAGGATACATTTCATCTTCACCATGAAATACGGTAGCCACCGGTTTTACTCATGCCTTTCATCAGCTTAAAGAAGTTCCCTTCTACTCCTACCTTGCTGAGAGTTTTTGTCATGAATGACTTCTGAATTTTGTCTAATACTTTTCCTGCATCAAGTGAAATGATTATAAAATTTTCGTTGTTGCTGAAGCCATGGCACTCTAGCCCGGGCAACAGAGTGACACTGTCAGTCTCAAAAAAAAAAAAAAAAAAAAAAAAAAAAAAAAAAAATTTCCTTGTATAGTCTGCTAATATGGTAAACTACTCTGGTTAATGTTTGAAATAACTTTTCACTTCTGTAATAAATCCCACTAAATCATTAGGCATGTCTCCAAATTTAATTTGGTAATATTGTGCTGGAGATGTTTGCATCTATGTTTATAAGCTATATTATCAATGGTGGTTGTTTCTTGTAATGTTTGTGTCGGGATATTTATGGCCTCCTAAAATGCACTGGGAATTATTCCTTCCATTTTTACATTCTGGAAGAGACTGTAGAAGTAGCATTAACTTTTCCTTAAGTATCTGGTAGAATTTAACTGTGAAAACATGTGGGCCTATATTTCTTCTTTATTGGGAAGTTTTAAACAATGAATTCAACTACTCTAATAGATATAAAATGATTCAAGTTATTTATTTTTGTTTGAGGTTCATTTATTTGTGCCTTTTAAGGAATTGCTCCATTTAATTTGTCAAAGTTACAGGCATAAAGTTGCTACAATATTTCTTTATTAGCCATTAACATTTACTGGATCTGTAGTGATTTTACCTCTTTTAAATACTTACATTTGTATTTTATTTTCTGTCTCTTTCATATTTTAGTCAATCTGCCTAAGGATTTATCTATTTTATTAATCTTTTAAAAGCATCAGCTTTGATTTTACTGTTTTCTCAAGTGTCTTTTATTTCTTTCATCTGCTTGACTTAGACTTAATTTTTTCTTTTTTTCCAGTTCATTAAAGACCTTAGATTGATTTGATATTTTTTGTCTTTTTAAATATAAACACATGCCACAACTTTTTCCTAACATGGTTTTCACTTCATTTCGCAAATTTTGATACTGTATTTTGTTTTCATTTAGTTAAAAATATATTTAAAAAATAGTTTCTAATTTCTCTTGTGAGTTCTTTGACCCGTGGGTGATA